CTCTCCATCTTCCACCTTGCAAGTAAGCAAACAACTCAGAGCTATTGTGGAAATAATAAGTTTATCACAGAGCCTTTTGCCAGGTAGATAACTGGTTTCCACCACTCCCTAGTGGATGAAATCCAAGCTAAGAGACAGAATTTTTTTAGTGTGTAAAAGGAGAGTTCTGATCCAGTGAATTTTTATTATTTGTCACAATAATTTGTGACTGCCATATCTGCAGGTAGGTCTTTCCTACTCAAAGCTGTCACTATACTAGAGATATGTGATAGTAATTTCCTTAGAATAAAAAAAGATAAATTTTATAGAATAATTAAAGGTAAGGTTATCCTATAAAATAAAAAGTTGCTATATAACAACATAAAAATAGTAGCCAACTGAAGGAAATAGGGTGTTTGACTGTAAAGTGTATTAAATTCTTACTGGTATTATATAAAGAAAGTACTTATCAACAAGGCAAAAAGACATCAAGCAGCACCAAAGAAGGAAAGCTGACCAGTTGTTTTAATTCTGATGTCTGTGCAAGAACGTACCCAGTAGTGACAGTTTGATAGTTCTGTTACATAAGAAACTCCCTACTGTTCTGCTAATTGAGTGGAAAGAGCCCTTAGCCTTTTCCCCACTGTAGGAGCTGATTTTATTTTTTATTTAATTAGCAAAAAATACAAAATTTTATCAGAAGCATAGTGACCAAACATCTGAAGCACATTCGGTCCAGCCTCCAGAGCACAAGAGCTGTGTGATTCTGTCAGAATGAGGCATAATTTTCTTAGACCCAGAAAGCTCAGTTCTGAGTTAGCAACAGTACAGTGGTGGAGCCCTTGTCTAGCATACATGATGCCTTGGGTTCAGTCTGCAGTAAGTAACACACACACATACACACACACCCCCTATAGACAGTTCAATTCTTAATTAACTGCTGTCCTTTTAGACTTGGGAGAGAGGGGGATATGTTACCATTGTAGAGAACAGCTAGCAGTAGGATGGTATCTATGTAAAGAGGATGTTGGAGCCGGGGATTTAGCTCAGTGGTTGCCTTGCAAGCACAAGGACCCAAGTTTGATCCCCGGTACCAAAAAAAAAGAGGATGTTGGGAAGTATTGATTCATTTGGTTTGATCTCATGTTCCAGGCTCTGGCTCTCTGTTTTTATGTCCAGGTTACTCAACCTCTCAGATACAGTTAAGTTGCCTCCACTGAGATGTTCTTTGAGTAACTAAAGAATGTCCACTGATCTTCTATAGCACTAAATGCATTTGTCATTTGGACTAGAATACTTAAGCTGAATTGTCAGTGTATTCTCTTCCTGTGGTCAGAATATACAGGCAGCCAAAATATAATGCTAGATATCACCATCATAGGACTATGACAGGTTCATTTATTCCATGAAGTTATACCAACACAAAAAGTAAATTCGTAGTTAAAAATTCATTTGGTGAGTCACACTTCCTTCAGATGATTTCATACAGCAAATAGATCAGTCTGTATATTGATCTTACAGTTTTAGCTAAAAAAAACTTCCCCTTCATTTCCAAATTCTAGAGAAACATTTCTTAGAAAATAGCTCAATTTTTTTTCTGAAAAATGAATCTTCATCTCAAAATGATACAACTATGACTTAGGATGGCATCACTCCAAGGAGGCTTTCCACACCTAAAATGATGTTATCTTTTTCTGAAGTATATTTTAAGTGGTTATATGTAACCCCATTTCCATCCTGCTAAATCTGATTGGTTAATCTGAATTCTCAAGGAGCAAGGCAACAGATGTGGTCAAGCAAATTTTTACAAACCTTAGTCTAAGGTATGTCAGCATTATCCTGGCTGCATTGATATGGAAGGTAGGTCTCTGCCATAACCTATGTCAGAACACCTAGGGCGGAGTGGTGAACCTATGGCATATGTGCTACCTTGGCCCGTTTCTATCATTGAAAGTTCTAAAAGATTTGCCATCACTGATAGGGAAAAGCATCCTAGAAATACTGTCCCAGACCTGATAGTATCAGCAGGAGAAAAATTACTAAGAACCAATGATTCCCTTGCACTTACTCAGCTTGGACAGCAGAATTGTTTTTATGTGTAATTGATACAAGGAACTCAGAATTGCATAATGTTGACACCTGAACAAACATGTCGTTTGTTCTTTTTATCAATTCTAAAATAGGCATATTATAGTAAGTTACAAAATAGTATATTTTGGGGGTAGGTTAAAAAAAAAAAAAAAAGCAAAAATCTTAGGCCAGGAATGTAGCTCAGTGGTACAATGTCTGCCTGGCAAGTACAAGTCTGAGTTTGAGTCCTTGTACCAACAAACAACAACAACAACAACAAAAACCTTCTAATTTCTATTTAAAACCAAACAGATAAAAGCCAATAGACTTGACAACTAGGAAACCTTCAAATATATAGAATCCAAAAATATACGAATTTTGAAAGTCTAAATGTCTTCTAGTCCAAGATTTGCCTGATGCAAAAGTCTGTTGTCTTCCCAACTGTCTGTCATCTAGCTTTGTTGCGTTTTTATGGGGTAGACCCACTGCCTCTACAGCAGAATATTGGTGGCTAAATCTCCTAATTAATAATCCTTTGTTAGTTCTCTTGGAAGGATACCCAGCAGAGGGATGGCTGGGTCAAATGGAACCTCCAGTCCAAGAGGGGTGAAGTAATCTCAGTGCTGTTTTCATCTGCATCTCTCGAATGACCAGTGATGTGGAACATTTTTTCATATATTTTCTTGCTGCTTTTACTTCTTTGTATGAGAAATGTCTGTTCATTTCGGATGCCCATTTTTGAAAATAATATGGAGATACCTCAAAGAGCTTGGACTGGAGGTTCCATTTGACCCAGCCATCCCTCTGCTGGGTATC